GACCCTGAGAAKCTGCAGAGGTTTGCCCACCTTTCCCTGCTAACTTCCCCAGTGAATGTAGCTCCACAGAACTACAAGAAAATGAGACAGAGCTTTCATTTCTGCCAGATTAAGTAATTCCATCCATTCCACACAATTTATCACTCTTTAGAGCAGCTTGTGTCATGGGATGACATTTTATTGTAATTATGCAGGGTGGGATTGGACAAGCTCTCGCTTTTCTTTGCCAATCTGATAAGCAAAAATATTTCTTTTTTTTTACTTTCATAGAAACTACATGTTTTAGATAAAAATAACCAAACCAAAATACAACTATAACATACAACCAATAAATAGTCTGACGTTACCAAGTCACGACTACAGCAATCACCTTTACTGTGGAAAAAAAAAAATCCAGGACATCTGAAAACTTTCCAAGTCAACATTTACTCTCAGATTAGAGTCAATAGTTTTGCTGAATTTGCCATTTAGAGATAGGTTTGTCCTTCCATGCACTTCTCTGCAGCTAATCCAAAGGAAGCATCAGGGGAATTCACTTGATTCAGGATTACAGATTTTAGTAATAACAATATTCAAGTATCCAAGTGACGTTTTTCTCCTGGGGGAGCAGTATCCATGCTCACATWTATCCAAGTGCTGATCCATCAAGACCAAGCACAACAGATGTTTTTCACCAAGAAGCAGGTTTCATGAAGAAGGGGTTTTWAAAAGGGCTTCTTTATTCATCCTTTTCCCAAAACAAGAGCAAAGAAAACACAATTCCAACTCGGATATCATGACTCACATAGAAGGCAACAGGCAGGAAACTGCACTACTTCTATCAGTGTTCCAGACAGTATCCTCAGGCTCCCAACAAACACTGAACTTKGGGAAGCCTTCTCCTGTTCTCTTATCTGTCCAGGCCATGCAGTCCCGAAGGACAGACCCTGCCCCACCTCTTGGGTCAGTTGGGTCCAAGGTGTGGCATCAGCCCTGCTTGCTCAGTGACTGAGACAAATTGGGAGAGCCTGCTCGCAACCAGGTTTCTCTGCTAAGCTTCATTTTGATACATGAAGAGGTCAATACAGCCCAGACAAAGATAAAGTTCAGAAGTTGAAAGTTTGGAAGTTGGAATGTCTGTTGTCACGGCAGTTATCCCATGTATTTAACAAAAAGGGGACTATTCTTCTATTAACGTTAGTATTTTAAGCTTGGGTTTAAGAAAAAAGCACAAGTAAGCAAAGTGAAATTARCCAGAATAATGTTTAAAAAGGGTCGTTTTCTGTATTTCTCTCTACACTTCATCATATATGGCTACGTATAATTCATGAGTTTAGAGCAGTCTTACAGGAAAGGGAATAAAGGATCACAGTTACAAACAAGTGGCTCCTCTGCAAAGGGCTGAATTTTATCCAAGAATTTTTCTGGTACCCAGAGAATCTTCCAAAGGCTCTAGTTCCTGGAACCAACTATACAACAAGYATAACTTGTTAAGTTAAAGAACAAGTTACTAACTCTCGTAYTGTCWAARRAAAYACTGGAAACTCMTGGCTGAAACCAGCAGCATTGCTTTCCAATGACAAGAGTACATCACGTGGGAGTGGCCTGATCTGAAAGACACTGAAGTTACAGATAACCTTTTCCTTGACTTTACTGGCTCTTAAATAAAAGCATTAAATAAAAGAGCATTAAATAAAAGAGATAGTGGCTCCGACACTCACTGAGAAAAAAAATCTACAGAACTGATGGGGAAAAAAAAGGATTTTTTTTAAAATAAATTTTTCCATATAAGGAGCCTGGAATCTTCCTGTGAAGGGAAATTCCAAAACCAGGACCAAAATAAATACTGAAGGGGGATGCCAAGTAGSAGCAGTACAGAACTGATGTGAAATAGCCAACAAGCAAGACCTTATGCTGTGATTTGGAGAAACACAGTAACAAACATAAGAGACACATACTACATAATTTAGGTTCATTCATGTACAACAAATATTTTTATTCCAATGACTTTTTTTTTTAGCATCTTTGCATGCAAACTATTTTTCAGGAAATTTAATAGTTGACCAACATCCTGTAATTATCATACCTTGTTCAGAGATAAAGGAACAAGTTCAGAGATAAAGTAAGACRCCAATGGCCTCGATGAGAAGCACAGAGCAGCCAATGGGAGTGTTGAAAGCAGAAGSCCACATTCCAGGAACTCACACATCCATCACCTAAGCAGCCCACAAGGCTACTTGCCCTCACAAGGACCAGCCTGAGATCCTATCTGGATTTCTAGTGCAAGAACAGTTCCTGTGGAGAAGCCCCACATTTAACACTTGGTACCACCATTTTAAAAATATGTAACAGTACATGGTGCTGACAAGTGCTGACTGTTTAACAGCAACCACAATTATGAACACTGACCCATCTCTGGGAATGCCATAMCCCTGCAGGGTTACACAAATTTGATGTGTGACATGACACTCAAGTCCTCAAGAGAAAAATGGGTGGGACAGAATATTYCAGGAGGAGAGAACCGAGTTGGTTAAAATTACAGAATGTGAATCTGTTATTGTCAACTAACACAAAGATCAAAAATTAACAAAAAGATAATCAGGCAACACTAAAACACATGGTTTCAGCTCTGCTCCCTTCATACAGAGTAAGATACGAGGTAAAATCGATGTCTATCAGATCATTCTGTTAATCAATCTTTTTTTATTTATATCTGCTTAACATCCCTCTAATTAATCTTCTAAATTAAGTACYAAACCATGCATTCTTCCTAAAAATCTACTATATATGAGGAGAATTATCTAGTGAAAAGTACTGCCTATCCTGAACAAAAAAGAAGCTATTTCAAACACTTAACCTGCTATACATAAACAATGCAACCACGTTCATTGATCATATATGGAACCATACACACTCATAACTGAATTAGCTTTAAGATTACCCAAGTTATTGTCCACACTGCATTTYGATCAGGTAGAGCTGCTGCCTTAAAAGAACTAATAACTGAACTGTATATGTACCTACTCAAGGGAACAAGACTTGTCATAGAATCTTTTCTTCAGCCAGCACTGTCACCACTGGAAGCATTTCACTATTAAAAGCTACAAATTTTTTTCCCTATCAGTTCTGTGGTAAAAGTGCTGCTATCAAGGTCCAAAGTCCTTAAGAAGTTGGTTTGACACAGTAAGTTTTCTTTTMGTTTTTTCCTACTTGCAAAAAATAACAACTTTTCAAACTTGAAGCCTGTTATGATAACACAACACTACAGGGGACACAGCTAAAATTGCTTATGCATGGTTGACTTTGGAGTTCCTTGGGTTTTTTAAGTGCTTAACCATCACATCTTACTACTCTGAAACAGAATTTAAAGCCCACAGAACTGTCTGCAATGATTGCACTTCACTGTAAATGATAAACCTGATTTTCAAAGTAAAAAAAAAAATCTCAAGTACTGCTAAGTGTCTGACTAGCACTTCACTTCTGTGGTGAATAAAATTGCCACTGTGAACAGTCTGAATATCAAACATCTGATGTCACATCACAGAGAACTGAGACTGCAACTCTTCTGTTGTCACTATCTGCACAGAATCACACACTGAGGCTAATATGAGTCTTGAAGCTGATCCTGCTTTTTTGTTTTCAGCCTTCATTTAATGCATGTCGGCCTAGGACAGTTACTTAGTTTGTTCTACAGCAAAAGCAAAGGTTTGGTACTGAGRTCATGAAACTCATTACTGCCTGGGAGCAACGTAATTGATTTTCTACAATTAAATCTGCTGGAGCTTTGAAGGACCCTGGTGTATGAAATGCAGAAAGACAGGAATCTTGCTCATGCAACACCTCCAAATGTTTCTGAGAGTTAGTCAGAAATCAAAAGTTGCTCCTTCAATTACAATGGAGATGTTTCAGAGTAAAGTCACCATCAGCAAGACCTGGGATTAGCCCTGCTCCTAAATAAAACCCGACAAGTTATGTTCAGGCCACAATTATGATAAATAATCCATATTTCCTACCTATTACTCCCTTTGAAGGACTCCACACCAGCAGGCCTCACATTTCTAAATTTGCTAAAAATGCTGACTTTACAGCACTTCACTTGTTGAAAGGCAGTCTCTCCCCCTAGTCCACTTAATTCCATTCTCCCACTAGATTCCCTGGAAATGGAGTTCCCTGGTGATGGAAAACAAAGCATGAAGAATTACAGGTGTCTAATGACTTTCAGCAATATCCAGTTTAATTTCAAACCCCTGATGATACTGAATAGATTAAAATAACATCAACCAGTAGATTACTACTAAGTTTACACCAGAAAGAAGTCCAAGTTGGCAGGCTACAACTTGGTAGATCAACTTTCTARGAGTGCATTGGCAGCTCCACAAACAGCAGTAAACTCAGACAGATTTGGGCTATTTTCAGTTCCTGCTCTTGCCACAGAAGATAGGAAAAACATGCACAACAGAATATAAAGAGCCCATCAGGCAACTATTTAATCCATTATACTATACCCTTGTATTGAACTACTAACCTGCTAACCAGTGACTTAGTGGTTTCTGACTAAAAAAAATAAACCACACTGAGTCATTAATAGGTGACCACACATCAAGTTGCAAATATTTCTATTACTTTTTATGGCTATTCATTATATTKATGCACCAATTTTTCTGTCATCTCTGCTAGCAGACATCATCATGCCCTTATTATATAAACCCATTGTACTCAAATCTTGAATATAGGTCAGTTTTGCTGATCCTGTGACTAAAAAATTCTTTTTAAAATAAAAAAATACACAATAAAGAAATTACACTGACAAGAACTAAGGTGACAAAAAAAGCTAAGACTTCTTTACCTTGAATAAAGAATAGCTGAGTAGACAGATAATGAAAGAACGCAGCTCTGAAACAGCACAGAGACAGTGAGTAGAAACCAAGCATAATTCTCTTTATAAGTGAATAAACAAACAGGATCAGGCAGAAAATTTGAAAGAAGCAAAAGGAAGTAGTTTTTCCACACAACATATTAACCTGTGGAACTCACTGCTGTCAGACTTGCTAAACTGTTCACGTGTCTGGAATCTGGAAAAAAATAATTTGGATGAATTAATGTCAATTGTGTCAAGTGCTACGAAACACACAGGTGTGGRCACACTGACAGCTGCAAAAATGTAAAGCTATAGCTTGAGAAGAAAAGATATTTCAAGATTCCTCAGTGCTACAGCTCATACCCGTGTAGTCTGACAACTGAGCACAAACAGCTCAAGTGTTGGTAGAATTAAACGAGAGATGGTAACAAAGCCAGAGGCAGGAAAGCGTGAAGAGAAACACCGAACGCCAAACACGGTTCATGCTTCGCCAAAAGATCTGGCCCAAAGCAAAAACAATTGCAACACGCATTCTTTGTAAGGAGAGTTATCCACTTCTTTCCCTCTCCCGTGCAAACTGCTGGATTCGGCTCAGACTACGTGCAGCTACGGCTGCTGGTGGGACACCGAGGCAAAACGAAGCAGCTCCTTATACTGCCTCTGGATGCAGCTCCTGGAAACCGAGCGTGCGAGGAAAGCAGCTTTGAAATGGCTACTTACACAGCCAAAACACGCGGCGCAGGAATCCCGCGGAGCGGAGCGGAGCGGAGCAGAGCCGAACGCGCTCCCGCAGCCGGGGCACAGCCAGAGCCCGGGGGGCCGCGGCTCTGAGCGCTCACCCGGCACGGAGCACTCCCCTCAGCGCGGCCTCGGGCTCCGCCACGGCCAAGAGCCGCCGCCCCAGCGCTGCCCGCGCCCCCGACACGGCCACACGCCTGCCCTGCCGCCCACCTGGCGCGCCCACCCTGCCCGGCCTTGCCTCGCCTCACCGCTCCGCGCCGGCGTCCCCTCCGGGCGCCCCGCGACCAGGCGCTCTASGGGGCGAGAGCGCTGAGAGCCGCGCGTCCCCCGGCGCATGGGAGGCGGCGCGCCCTGGGCCGGGAATGCCGGAGCCCCGCAGGACCCGAGCAGGTTCCCGGCGGCTCCGGGGCTCAGCCACAGCCCTTTCCCCGCTCCCCTCGCTCCCGCCCGCCGCCCGCGCTGGAGCCKCGCTCTGCCTGCTGCCACCTGCCGGCCACAGCGCGCACTCCCGCCCGCTCCCGCTCCCTCCCTCCCTCCTTCCCCCGGCGGGCCGGCGCTCAGCGGGGATGTCCAGAGGCGATGTCCAGCGGGGATGTCCAGAGGCGATGTCCAGCGGGGCAGCCTGCGGGGCGGAGGCGCAGGGGACCGCACCTCGCAGCGCCGCCGGTACGGGGACGTGCCTGGGAGAAGGTGGGGTATGGCGGGGGCTGCCCGCGATTGCCCGGGCCGGGAGCGCAGGTGCCCCCCGCGCCAGCCCCAGGCGCTCCCAGCCCCGCGCGGTGCCGGCGGCGCTCCGAGGTGTCGGGGAGCGGAGCGGGACCGGGATGGACCCTCCTCTGCAGGAGCGGCCGGGCAGGTGCCGCTGGCGGGGCTCCGTTCGGAGCGGCCCGGCAGGGGAACGGGTACATTGTACTCCATCAGTGCGCAGCTCCTCCAGCCCTTCGCTCTTTGAGACCACGGCACTAAGGCACCCCGTACTGCTGCCCTCACACACTACAAGAAAACCCGAGAGACAACTGTCATCCCCACTTACCGGCTGGGTGAAAGACCATCTGCTTCCAGAAAAAATACTGACAACTAGGAAATAATACATGCTCCTGACARTGTTTGCTTCAAAGTCTGAGATTTGAAACGGAGCCAGTAACAGYGATACACTGGCACTGTGAAGAGCACAGCACTGATAAGCAGCTATGAGGAGGATCTTCTCTTGGTAACTTTTGAGTTAGCGTCTGAGSAAAAAGACTGGAATTGTGTCCCTGTTCCTGATTTATATTAAGTTTACTGGACCTAAGATCCCTAAGGGCATTTTCACTGAAAAGAGCAATAAAGTGTCCAGCATGACCTCTAAGCCTTAGAACCAGATAGTCACTGGCAACAATTCATTGCAACATTTAGGTTTATGCCTTAAAAAACCCACAAAATTATTATTATTGTTGTTGTGCTGGAACTGGCCCAACCAGGTGAATGTACTTATTTTAGAGTGCAGCAAAACAGGTTGTTTTTTCTTGCCAGCATTTTGGGCTCCATTACACTTGAACCCAGAAAAAAAGAGTAAAAGATGATGTGTTGACCGTACAATCCATTGCACAAAAAACACTCTTCTCATTCCCAAGTTCATGTATTGGTATAGGCTCTAAGCAAAGGATCTGCTGCAGAAAACTTACTTTTCCTGTGTATTCACCACACAATTGCCACAGTGCAGAGCTCCTAAGCAGTTTCAGATGCCTTGTAGGCATCATGGCAGATCTTGGTTGCAAAGAGACATCTGTACACGGCTGTACAAAGTTTTCTCACATGCAAGGAAAAGCTGCATTGTAGCACTTAGAGAAGGGTAGCTATGCTTTCTCCAAGAGGTCTCATTCATAGGAAGAGAAAGGGTTTGGAAACCACAGATTTAATCTAGAAAGAATTCTGCCAGTCCCTCCTGAGTTACGAGGTGGTTTGGCATCAGGTAGAACTTTACCTGTGCTTCAGAACCTAGACTGAAGCCTGTTTGGCAGTGGYAGACAATCTCCCAGGAAGCAAATGCTGTGCTGCTCTGACCATGACCTAATGAAGTAGGTAAGTGAGTGACTAATTACTAGGCCGGGTAGCATGTGAGCAAGACTAGCTCTGGCACGTTAGAGTATTTTAGTTCTAATCTCTGCTGCAGAGTACACATTCTACCTCATCTACTCTGCCAAATGCATGACTACCATTTGCTTCAGGGGGAGACACAACTGCAGCCAGATGGACTAGAGACAGGAGTCCTTTTCAAGGGCAAAGATCTAAATATTAATGTATTAATTATTTACTGTACTTTGTTTGCATGGTAGGATTGCTCTGCTTCCTAACTGCTGCTATTGGAGAAMGATTACTTAACCTGTGCCAGTCTGAAAATTAGCCACCAAATTCTATCTGCCCTCGGGGAAGAAGGACTTGTTCTATATTAATTGCAGCTGAACAGCATAAGCGTCTGCTGTGGAGRTCCCGAAGGCTCTTCAGCTGGGCACTGACAGCATCAGAAGAGTTGGAGCCTTGGTACATTAAAGYAGAAACTATAAGGAGGCCTTTTGAAAAACCAAGGAACGTAACTTGTCASTGTTTYCCCTCCCTGTCTCTTTTGCTGCCTKTAGTCTAATTTCCCTAACCTCCCTCTTGTTTCCTATTTAAGCTGTCTGTCATCATTGCATCTTCTCCTCCCCTTGCTGCTGCTGAGCTGCTCCGAACAGCATGCTTTGTGTTTTCCCAGCAGGGCAGGAGGAAGYTGTCCTGCTGCTGAGGGGGCGAGGAGCAATTCTTCCCACACCTTATCTGTGCTGCAGAACAACTGACACCCAGTTTGTTCGGAGCACTGCAGAGCTATTGGTCCCCTCACTCTACTGCAATGTTATCTGAGATCTTTCATCATCTCACATAACAAATGTGGCTATCTGATGAAAACCACCCAACATACCCAAGCTCTTGGCTGTTTTTTCTAAGACATGGACATCAAGGGGAATGTAAAATGGCATCATTCTTTCAAATTTTGAGCAAAACATAAATGCTTGAAAGAACACAGCATTCACTAGGAGATTAAATGAAATTGCAGTAATTAATGAAGGACAGCTTGTTTAAAGTTTTAATTTGGTGGTAGTAGATGTGGCAGAAAATAATCTTTTGAGAGAGGATGAACTCATCAAGCAAAGAAAGGTCTGAGTAGGACAGGAATCATAGAATCATAGAAACATTAAGGCTGGCAAACACCTCTAAGATCAYAGACTCCCAGCTGTTAACCCACCAYTGCCAAGCCCACCCCTGAACCATTCATCAAAGTGCCACACCGACATGGAACCACACGAATTAACCTACTTGATCATCTGTTCAGCACATGGTGATTCAGTCTCCCAGGTCTCCTTGAGTGAGGGCAGGGATAGCCACCAACACCACTCACCCAGCAAGCTGCAAAGRTTTCCTTTGAGATGCAAGGAGTGCTGGGGTATTTTTACTTCCAAAGCTGAAAGACTTCCCTGCCCATGAGCCAGTTCTTTGGCCAGCTGCCTCTGTGAAAGAGGAGGAATCTATTTCAATTGGTTTCATTAAAATTCTTTGTGTTACAGCAGCTTGGGAACAAGACATTAGTGCTACTTCAAAAATTCAGACAAGAGTACAGCACAAAATTGTAAGACTGGCCAACAGACGAGAAGGTGGAACAGCACTGCTGGACTAAACCTCTGCTTGCTGGTCACAAAGAATCATTTCACACTAACAGTGGGAATGAAAGTGTGTGAAAATCCCCATTGGGATAAGGAAAGAGAGAATCTGAGAAACGAGATTGTGGTAGAGTAGGAAGCTAGAGTTTCTCTCCCTTGAATTGCTTCAGCCACTTATTATTTGTTTCAATACTTCTCTGTGAGCCACTAATTGTCGCAGTGGGATCTTTCTGCTTCATTTCCTTCTCTTTGTGAGAGCAGGCGTCAACACTGCAAAGAGTTAGAAATCTGCAGCCTGGTATACAGAAGACAATGTCCAATTTGCAACATGTCCAGCATAGGTCAGTGGCACGGTTAAGCCTTGGAAAGTGTCTTTATACAAGCATTCGATTTTGAGATCTTAGGGGGAAAAAATCACTATTTCAAAACCCAAACACAAACAGAAAAAAAGAAAGACGGAGTAGTATTACAAGTTTTCTCTTCACCCCTTGATCTGTTACTCTTTAAGCAAGAGTATTTAGTAGAAAGAGTACATGACACCAAAGGAGAATAATAGTAGCTAGCCCAATTGCAGCTTASGTATCCTCAGGAGCAGCAGTGTTTTCTAGTTCACACTCAGAAACTGAGTTCAGAAAAGCCTGGTTTTGTCTTCACCTATGCCTTTCCCCAGAGCTAGATCAATCGTTCCTGTCAGATCCTTGTCTGAGAACAGTAGAGATGCATGAAAGTTCTTAATTAATATGTCACATTACAGAAATGGGAGAGCATGCCTGTTTGAAACGTATTGGACTTTGCATGAGAGGGCAAGTTCCAGGAATGGCAGTTCCCTGGGACCTGCAGCTGCTCTGGTCCCTGGTACCACTGCCTGCTTCTTAAGAAAAACTTCACAACAGCACAGCAGGACCAGTTGACTTTCTAGCCAAACAAAGAATTTGCCCTTCCCTCCTCCATATCAAGTATTTCTCTTTGGTCACACTGAAGGACTTCTCCTATTTCTCTTYGGTCACACTGAAGGATTTCTCCATGTTCTGGACAAGCACCAGCCAGGCCTTGTACAACTACACAGACCACATCCCTTGCTGAATAGTTGTCTTTATGTGGACAAATTCATTACT